AGGAGACTGAGGCAGGATAATCGCTTGAACCCAGGAGCAGAGGTTGCAGTGAGCCGAGATTGTGCCACTGCCCTCCAGCCTGGGTGACAGAGTGAGACCCCATCTCCAAAAAACAAAACACAAAACAAAACAAAGGAAAACATTATTCTGTGAATACTTTACCAGATTGTCTAAGGGTCCATCCAAGAAGTGCCCTGTACTAGAAAAGTCTAAGAGGTACATGTGGAAATACTGCCATTTCCAGGCCATCTCAGTGGCTTCAAGAGGGTCAGCCTAGCAGAATATTTGGGCAAGGCTTGTCTTGAAAATACAAGATATGGCTGGGCACAGTGGCTCATTCCTGTAATCCCAGCACTTAAAGAGGCCGAAGCAGGAGGATCCCTTGAGCCCAGGAATTTGACCAGCCTTGGCAACATGGTGAGACCACATCACTACACAAAAAATAAAAAAAAAATAGGTGGGCATGGTGGTGGTGGCATGCATCTGTAATCCCAGCTACTTGGGAAGCTGAGGCTGGATTACTTGAGCCTGGGAGATTGAGGCTGCAGCGAGCTGTGATTGCGCCACTGCACTGCAGCCTGGGCAACAGAGCAAGACTCTGGCTCAAAAAGAAAAAGAAAAGAAAAAAGGAAATCTAGGATTTAAATTGACCATAGGTTTGTACCCTAATATTTTCCTCCATGGAAGTCATAGTCTAAGGAGTAAGCTCTGACTTGATTGTGGCTTGCTGTGACAACTAACTACAGATTGAGACCCTTTGTGATCAGTGCAGATGCTCCCAGGGGGAGATTATTACCCTTCAGCTGGCTTGGTCAAGAGTTTCCCAGAAGTTGTGTTTGAACAGGTAGCTTTGACAGGTGGAAGTGTAGATGAGGCAGAGAGGACCATTTGCTTTGTTCTAACCCAGTCAAGAAGAGTGTGTCACCACTGTCTATAAAGTAAGATTCTATGCCAGGCAGAGTGGTGTCATGGAAAGGAAAAGAACTGTGGCACTGGAAGCTCTGGAATTTTTGTTGTTGACAGAGGGTCTCGCTTTGTTGCCCAGGCTGGAGTGCAGGGGCGTGATCAAAGCTCACTGCAGCCTGGACCTCCCAGGCTCAAGCCTCCTGCCTTAGCCTCCAGAGTAGCTGGGACTACAGGCACACCACACCCAGTTATTTCTTTTAAATGTGTGTTTTTGTTTGTTTGTTTGTTTGTTTGTTTTTGAGATGGAGTCTTGCTTTGTCGCCCAGGCTGGAGTACAGTGGTGCGATCTCGGCTCACTGCAAGCTCCGCCCCCCGGGTTCACGCCATTCTCCTGTCTCAGTCTCCTGAGTAGCTGTGACTATAGGCGCCCGCCACCACGCCTGGCTAATTTTTGTATTTTTTAGTACAGATGGGGTTTCACAATGTTAGCCAGGATGGCCTCGATCTGACTTCGTGATCCGCCCGCCTCGGCCTCCAAAGTGCTGGGATTACAGGCGTGAGCCACCGTGCCCAGCCTTAAATTTGTTTTTAGTGGAGATGAGTTCTTGCTATATTGCTCAGGTTGGCCTCGAACTCTTGAGTTCAAACTATCCTCCTCTCTCAGCCTCCCAAAGTGCTGGGATTATAGGTGTGAGCCACTGTGTCCAGCTGAAGCTCTGGAATTTAATGCCTCATGTGCCCCATGTGACCTCAGGCAAGCCACTTAACCTTTCTGAGCTTCAGTGTCCTCATCAGTGAAATAAGGATAATAATAAGATTTGGGGGAAGATCAATTGAGGTGTTACTGTGAAAGACCTCTGCTAGTTGTGGTTTATTTCTGGGACTGGGAATTAGCAGCTTAGGCAGGATTCTTCTAGTTGCCAGTATCTGAAAGCCCAGCTCAAGGGAACGTGTTCATGGCTCGTGTATCTGGTAAGTCCTGGGATAGTTCTCCAGCTTCAGGCTGGCAGGAATTCAGGGATGTTGTTCATATAAGCGTCATCCTCCGCCAGACTCTCCCCTCATACTGGTGAGATGGCTGCTGCAGTCTCAGCTCCAAACTCATCTGTTTAGTTTTAATCTGATGGAAAGAAAGAAAAGCTCTTTTCAGTCACTCACATCAGAGCTTGGGATGAATTCTTTCTGAACCAGCTTGGCTTTGCTTGAATTACCACTGAGGTCAGTGATGCTCTGATTGAGTGTTGAGAAAGGGTAGTTTCCCCAAAGGAGAATCAGGGTGTGATTGGTGGAAAAATATGATCAGATGCTTGACAGCAAAAGCTACAGATGTCTGCTTTTGGAGATTCGGGTTCTAACTCTGACTTGATTGTGGCTTACTGTGACCTTCAGCAAGCTGTAGGTTCCTTGGGTCCCC